CTTTCCGTTCGACAACTCCCGCGTTAATGAAAATTTCATTGAAAGCATCATTTTTCAGAACATTTGTAATTTAAATATTATTTAGGTACTATTAGTACGAATCTGTGATGTGTGTGTGTGTGTGTGTGTATGTTTCATATATTTTAATAAGTATACTTTAATTGGGAACGATTTTAATTGAGAATTTATCTAGAATGAGAGCTATTTGTATATTTTGAATTTGATAGTAGCAAAAGAGAAATTAAGATATGAATTTGATAGCAAGAGAAGGAAGTAAGACATGAAGGAATTTAAATATGAAATTAATATATGATAGCTAAAAGAATTAAGATATAAAGGAATAGAAATTTTACTGTCTCTTATGTTTTTACAAATTATTATTATGCACAGAGAGGGAGAATCAAGATTTTTCTGCATTAAATATTTTTATAAACTCAGTAAAGCTTAATTAAGCCTTAGAAAGACATCTTGAAAATGTAATTATGAAACTTTCTGATCAATCAATTTTTACTGATTCTTTACAACAAAATAATTTATTAAGATTTAATTATCCAAATTATTAATATGAATAATTTGATACAAACGATAATCTCTCACGAAATTTTTGCCGAGAAAAATGAAGTCAAATGAGTAAATGAGCTCCAAATACATAAAAAAAGCATACGGCTAGAAAAAATTCGATAATTCTAGAATACCTTTTATATGTGTATATGTAATAAAAACGAAATTGTAAATTTTTTATTAAACACGCGCTTGTATGACTTATGAGATATATTATTCAATTACTTTAATTATTGATTCCATTACTATTGAGCCAGAAACAAGAACAAATTAAAGCAAAGTTTGCGACGCTTATCGTAGCGTTGCATCGGAAAAATGAGCAATTAGAGGCGGAGTAAGCGGAGTCGTTCTTGATTCTTCACATCGCATGGCTTCGCCTCATTTCGATCCTATATTGGTATTTCCATGGCATTTGTATTCCTGGAAAAAGAAGGAAGAAAGCACCTAATAGGGAATGGACCCGAAACATCCTGTATAGCTTTCCTCGCGACGAATAATTGGCGAAGCTTGAATGGGGAGCACGCGCCCGGTGTACTCTCATGAATTTCATGTTCCACCCGTCACGCCTCTGCTCGCCCCGTTCCGGCCAAAAATTGCCGGAAGCGGAGGCACGCGAACAGGAGAATGCAAATGCTACGGCGACTTTAATAGCACGGATTATAAAACAGATCCGAACACCCGGATCCGTCCGCGCCCGCGCGTGCGTAACGCTGCGCTTGAAAATTTAAATCCGCTCCGTGGATCCATATAATTCCATTATGCCTGCATTTGTAGCAAGGAAGGACGGGGTTGTTTTTACTGAGTCCGGTCTCGGTACGACGCGTGTTTGCGCTGACAAAAAATCTTTATTCCTCTATTACGTATGTATACAAAGGTGATCGGAAATTGATATTAAATTCTTTTAGTTTAAACTCGCGAGAGATATATTCGCAGTCTGTCTACAATAAGAATTTTTATTTGCTAAGAAATGATTACAAATATCGCCCTATAATGAATTATGCGTTTATTATAGTTACAACAATTACATAATTTTTAACAGTCACCTTAATTTATCTTCAAGATCATGTACATCAATCATTACATGACGTGTGAGAATGATTTGAAAACAGGAATATTGAACAATACAAATTTAATAATCATAATCTTAGCACAGCAATACAAGACTGTATGTCAAAAGATAAGAGAAGGACTATAAGTTTAGAACTTTTAATACGTATTTCATTTATTCTCTTCAATGGATTAATACTTCTGCGTTTCCGTACTTTAGAAAAGTAGTCTCCCAGAAAGCAGTCGCGTGCAACATTGCATTGGTCGGTTCGTCAACTTATTACCCGATTTAAAAGGAGAAATAAGAACATTTAACAGCAATTCCGAGAGAGTAAACGTGGCTGAATAAAAAGAAATGGCTACAATACGCATATCGTTAGCGCGGTTGCCGTATAATGAGGACCGTTTATTGCCGGCAGGAGTGTCGTTCTATATACCCTGACGTAATTGTTCCGCCGAATCTATCTCTGCTTCCGCCATTATTTTCAACTGATAATTATCTGATCCCGGGCGGTGATATTCTTAACAACAAAGAAGCGCGCGACAGGTATCGTCGTCGTTGCACGTCAGCCCGCTCCGGTTTCATGAAAAAGTAAACTGGATTCGGAGTAAAACTTGATACCGGGCCCGTCGATATTCTCCCTCTCATTCTCGTACCGACTCAATTAACTCGAACGTGCAAACGTGAACGAATGCGGAAAGCAGCAAGCAAAGTGTGCGCGATAGCTAATGAGATTTAAAGACTAATCGCTCTGAGACTTATTGACTGAAATTTCATTCGGTTTAGTACCGCGGTGATCAAAATCTCCTGCTGTTCATGTGCGGAATTGTCTACTTTAAATTGCTACTACGTGACCGGAATGACCGGATCATAGTAAACCGTATTCTTAATAGCTTGAACGAATTGACGAAGCTCATTGTAAAAGAAGGTATACGATTGTTAAGTATTGTTCAGAACTCCCATATATGCTGTCAAAGTTGTGGCAAAGAGACAATTTAACGTCTTAAATGGAAAACTTTGTGTCAGCCATCTGCTATTTCTGTAGTCCTTGACAATAATCTGAGTCGGCGAGGTTTTAAGAGTAATAGGGAGTTATAATAGAAAGTTTCTTTTGTCCTGAAAAAGTATTTCTACAAAAGAGATATTTAGAAGATTCAAGACGGTAGAGGATAATTGAATCAAATGGAAATTAGTTCACTGAATATAATTAGTTTCATTAGTATGAATTTTATGCTCTCTCCTCCACGAGTACTAGAAACGACCAAAAACTTGGACGGTCACTCCGCGATGTGTTCGCACTTATGTCGCGAATAATAATGCTGTCCGTATATAATCGCTGACGGATAAAAAGTACGTGATCGATAAAATATTATACAATGTAATCTGCATTGTGCTAGTCGCATCAATCACTGCCGCGATAATATACTGGATAGTGTGGGGCACACGAACACTCGAAAAATAATAACTCCGAAATTAAAAACAGCGTGGACACGCAATGGAAATTCATCGTTGCCAAAATGCAACGGCGACGCCTTGAATTATTTCCTGCCCTTTCCCTCTTCTAAATTCGAGCCACGCACGTAAAAATCGCGAAGGGAAAAAATATGATTTCGAAATTAGCCGACGCGGAAAGTGTCTCGATGGTCTAAACGCGAGAGAACTTTTAAATCTCCGCGATGACAATTCGCGATAATGCATTTCCAGAATAACGCTCCATTTGCATACCTCATATTTTTTGCGAAAATGGATTTTCATACGTTAGCATACTGTCCCGATTTCAAGATCCTGTCCATTTAGATTTTGGAGGGAATATATTTTAAGAAAATTATATTTCCTGACTTTATATCGACATTCCCCATTTCTAATTTCCGATCGCGTGTGCATCTCTAAAAAGTGTATTTTCGAAGATGGAGAATGGGATGCTATCTAGAATCTCGTCAAAATTTAAACGTTTCCACGCTATATTTATCCATGAGTACTCGCGTATTGTCCTATATATTATTGAAGCGTTTTAAAATTCTGTCTTTTCCAGTCTTCCGATGGTAATCGTAATCGTGTTACTACTGGATAAAGCATTATTCTGATGTTCAAATTTTGAGAGTTTTTTTTTTCCGACATTTTCCACGTTGCTACAACGCTGCATCTGACAGCATCAAATCCCTCGCATTGATCGGCATACACGTACTACGCGGCAACGGCGCAATGCCGACCGTAATTTTCATTAGAGACGCGCGTATTTGTCGCGTCCGCTCGCGTTCCCATAAGGCGGCTTATAAGCGGCCGCCTCGTCTGATGTTACAACGTGCAGAGACATGGAATCACGAGTAGCCCATGTTCGTTGGCATTAATTAGCAGGGAGGACAGCATGAAGCAGCGAAATACTCTCCGCTTTTCTAATGCTTTTATTGATTCAAAAGAGGCAGTGAGCGACCGCATCTCTCTTTACACAAATTATCACATATATAGAATTACATTTTTTAAAGATATATTATATACTTAATATTTATAAATTAATTATAGATATTGTTATTATAAGCGTGTAACGTACGCTATGGATATTAAATTGTTCTAAAAATCGATTTTATAGTCGAAATATGATATAAGCATAAATAATATAAAAGTTACTTTTTTATTTACTACCCTGAAAGAAAATTTAAAAGCAATAAATTATCGCAATCACCGTAAAATTACATTGATTAAAAATTATTAATTAAAAAACTTGAGAGCACACAAAAACCAATTAAAACCAGGAGTATACATTTTTCAAAAGTATAAACAAATATATTACCTATTCTTTAACACATGTGTATTAAATTAAAAGTTTTACGTAAAATGCGATTATTATTTTATGTATAACATTAAGAATGTTAAATATACATATATTAGAAATATTAACTCGTTTTCACTGTATAATGATATAATTGTATTTAAAATTATAAAATATAATATTACCATCTATATCTTTATATTTGAGTATATATATATATGTATACTCTCTCTAGTTTCCTTTAGTTTGTATAAATAGCTTCAGTAAACACATTTTATATATGTATAAAAAAAATTTGTTATTGTTTGATGTCCGATAAGTACAGGGCATCAAAAATATTTTGTACACCAAAATATAAATATCTTTATGTAGCTAAATAATTCTGCAAACGGAAAAAACTGTGAGCTCAGAGTTTCGTCCGAAAATACTGCTGCGCGCAATGTAAAAATATTTATTAGTTCTATATTTTCCACTATATTAATATATTAACGTTTTACTCTCACAGGCGAAAATAACTTATTTCTAAAACGGAATGAGTTATTGTCTCCAAAAGTGTACAATTTTCCCAGATCACTCTGGTATTTCTTCAAATAATCGTTTATTGGGTATACCAAGTAATTAAATTTAAAATCTGTACGAAGAATCGTATGTCGGATTGACCGACACTACAGTGTCGACGCTATCAGTATCCAGTGTATCGTTCTGCTCGGCTGCCCTCCATAATGGCGAGGGCCGAAATAAACTCAGGAAGGTCTGCGAACAATTAAAAGGGCACAAATTAAATTGTTGCGAATCCGATAATGGGTGAGATACGTGCCGCTGGCGCCGTTCACGTTCCCGCGAGGTCATATCTCCTCGTGCGAAACCGCACAAGTACTTTCGAAGTGTGCGCGGAACGCCCGAAAACAACGGGAAAAGGAGATAAGAGTAATGTTAAATTTATCGGCTAACAGAAAGCGGAAGCGGTCAAGAAAAAGGACTGCCTTCCTCATCTCTCTTTCTCTCTCTTCGTAGAAATGGATAGATATACGTGCGGTCCGAACAGGGCCGCTATTGACGCGTGTGTACGTAAAAATTTAAAATATTATAAATTATTTTCTTGGAAGTATTGGGAATTTTTATGTTTCCTTGCCTACGTAAAAAAACGGTCTGGCAATAATATTATCTTATAGGTAAAATAAAAAAGGTTGAATATGCTCTATACCTGTAAGATAATAAAAAATATATTACCTGTATATTAATAATTCTAGAGAAAATAGCTTACATATAATATTCTATCGTGTCGTGTACAAAAAAGCGTATGTAAAGCGACCATGCAAAATTTTATTTTAGCACCTCCTGAATTTTTGTGTATAAAAAAAAAAACAAGATTTTTATGGGATACAAAATTGACATTTTGCAATCTAAAAATGTGAAAAAAATTCGATATAGAGATTCGCAATGTTCACGCATTTATTTGCAAAGCAATTTGTACAATGCGATACGCTCCATTTGTTGGTGAAAATCCGAACGTATAGAAGGTCGTCAGTTTAATCAAAAAATTTAATCCCGTAAAATGTTCTTTTAAACATATGTCAATTTGTGTATTTCAATTTCGTTAAAACTCGCAATTGGCGACTCTCTCTTTGTACGGTTGCGCTCTTTGTGCGATGCGCACGATTTGCACGCTGGCTTCCGGCGCGGCGCGGCGCGGCGGCCCTGTGCCTGGAGCGATGGAGAGTGGCAGACTACCTTCCCCGCCATGAAGAAACTTTTCGTTTCAAAGTACGATTACCAACGTACCGTGAAAAAACTTGTATTAAGACGTTCCCCGAGTTCTCGAGATTTTACAGCGCGGACCGCAACTTCTAAATCGGCCCGTAACCGCTACTGCGTCGACAACGGCACGTATAAGCTTTCGGGAGACTCTCGCTTTAATCGAGATATCGGGAACAGCGTGATACAATAACGATCAACGACATTAGCATATCACAACTTTTACACTTTCGACAGAAAAATTCTTTTCATGTGCTGTACGCATATCAAATTAAGTATAAATTTCAGTAAAAGAATTTTAAAGAATTTTTCTCCCGTTATATCTCTTTTTGGAATTATCTTTGATAATTCCAAAAAGAATAATTTATAACATTCTTTATGCCGGATGCGTAATGGCGAAAGTTTTTACTCTGATTAATTGATCATACATAGGAAATGAGACAAGTTGGTCAAAATTGTTGGGAGATCCAATGATCCCGCAGCCGCTTCTCATTAGCGAAAATTAATGGCCCAATCTCCTAATAAAACAATCTCCTTTTCTTGAAAATGGCCAACCGGTAAGTCATTAAGTATCCAGGAAGAATACTGATTATTAAGAAATTTCAACTCAAACTTTTCTCTGAAAAGCCTTTCACGTTTGTTTGATAAATGTATCCTTTTTTGCGGAAAATAAATTATTTTTAAGACTTAAATGAGTAATGTTTCGTATTTCGATCAGTTATTGATCAAAATCAATTAATTTTTTTTTAATTTTAAGGAGTATATGTGCGCATTACATTCATTTTAATGATATCAGGAAACTTTTTAAGAATTACTGAATATCTTACTAATCTTTATATAGATAGACGAATAGAAGAATAAATAAGCAAAAAAGAATAAATAAATCATTTTACGTAGAATTGAACAAAAATAGATTTTAAAATTGAATAAATATTTATTTTACTTCAAGAATGTATGATGTAAAGAAAGTAAATATATTTTAGATTCTAAGAAAATTTCAAAAAAAACAACAATATAATAGAAAAGGAGGCTCAAAATTTTTCGTAAGATAGGTAACTATCACTAATTGTAAGACGTTATTTATTTATTTCCTTATATAAAAAACAAGAAAAAGTAAACGAAGTTCAATGCAAGCAAAAATAACGGTCAAAGAGACGAAAAGCACAAAGGTTATACCTGCAGGCATAGTCTGGTTTCTACCTGACCTTTATACCTGCAGGCATATTCTGGTTTCTACCTGACTTCTTTTGTTATTTTTGACCGTTTTAAGATGGATCATTTTAAGACGAAATTTTCTAAATTAGAGGATGACTATCTTCTTAGTCATAACATCTTGTCAGATGTGTTGAGACACAGTTCGATTTCATCGATGCTCATGGGAAAATATTAGCTAGTAGTTTTCTCTTGCTTTCTGTGCTTTCATCTTAGTCAGAGACATATATATGTACTGACATACAGACTAGTTATAATTTGAATATAATCATTTTTATTTTATAAGTAAAATGTTGCACTTTTATGCATATTTTGATAGATGCTGACATATAAAACAATATCTTGAAAAATTATTTAAACTTAAAGGAACAAGTGATATAAAAAAAATTTAAAAATAACGAAAAAATTATTTTATTATTAATATCATATTACTATTTAAGACAGATATTATTTTCTCAGTTTGAGTTACATAAAATTTCAAGACATGTCAGAGTATTTAAAAAAAAGAAGAATAGTTAAACTTATATTTCTCTTGTTGAACAAAAACAATACGATCGCGTAAATCTGGAATAAAAGTTTCTTTATTCACTATACATACGTATACGGCTTACGAAATATCAACAGATCACTATCTATTACTACGTCAATAATATGAATATCCATACATAACACGAAATTTTCACGTAATCTTTTCTCTTGTATCAAAACTGTTAGGTTTATTTCAAAAAACATTTTTTGAAAATCATCTACATTTAGGTATAGAACTTTAACGAGAATACTTACTTTAATCCAAAGGCAAATATTAGTAGATTAACAAAACTAAAAGTTTTTAACCTGTATATATATATATATATATATATATATATATATATATATATAAGACATGAATGCTAATTCGCACCAATAAAATTTCTTTAATTAATACGAAATTTTGAACAAGTTTTGTCCTTTTTTTTTGAAAATTTGATATTACCAATCGATTGGTTAGAAAATTTAATATTAAAAACCATGGTTTAAATTTAATTTCGTTTTAATATTTTCAGAAGATATAAAACCTTAAAAATTCCTAGTGCAAATTTTCACAATGAAGTATTCTCTAGGGATGCTTAAAAGGGTGAATGTCTTTCACAGGTTAAAACCCAAAACTTCGAAGCCTTTTATTTGTGAACAATTGGCTCACCTCTGCTTTCCAGGCTTGTAGGATAAAGAAAACCGGCATTGGCACTAAAGTTGCTAGTCCAATTCCAATTCCAAGGGCACCCGTCCAGTTAGGAAATATATAATCGCCGTAACTTCCTCGAAAATCGATTTGGTTCACTTGATATCCAAAGACTCCCTGCGGATAAAAGGCGGAGCGCCAATTAGTTGGCTGTTTGATTTCTCATATAACAGTTGAAACTGTGCTGCAGTGGATATATGTGCGCGAGAGCGCAACACAATTATCAATTAAGGGAGATTTCGAATTTTTAATCAAAACTAACTTTCGCGCAGAGCACCGTTCGGCAGCCGTCGAGGGAAATATTTCGATTCCCGCGACGGCGCGAGCGAAAAATTTCAGCGGTTATAAATAAAAATTCGCTCGGCACGCCTCGACAGGCAGCCAGATTAATTAAGCAGTTTGGTCGTGGGGAATACGACGCTTTGCCTCCAAGGGACGTTGAGTTTTGTGAACCTAAAGCTGGTAATCTTGCCTAGAAAGTCCGATAGAAATAAATTAAAAAATCTGTACAATACATTTTCTGTGTGTGATTCATAAAAATTTAAAATAAAATAACAAGTTAAATAAATTATAAAATTATATAAATATATAAATTATGAATATAAAAATAATAATATTTATAATAATAAAAATACGTATCTAATTATTTAATTTATATTACATTTTCTAATTTATAAAAGTTAAAAATAAACTAATAATAATAATAAAATAAATAACGTTTATATCAAAACAAAATATCAAATTTTTTAATTTGCTAATTTTAATTAAATTCTCTTATTTCATTTTATTGTAAGCATACAGATTATTTATCAACAGCAACTTAAATCTTTAATTTAAGATTTAAATTGTATTTACAAACATTCAAAATATTTTATATCTATTACATAATTATAATTTGTTCAAATGCACAAGAATATTTGTTAATTAATTTAATTAATAAATAATTATTTATTAAATTAATATATATAAACATCAAATTGCTATTTGTATATGTATATGCTATATGCATATAGACCGTAATTTTGCATCGCCTTGATTTCTCATTATTATTGAAATAAATTATTACGGTCCTTATCCCTACATATGATCATGAATAAACTATACAGAAATTAAAACGTTCACGACAACACCGATGAATGTATATCACTATGATGAATCGGCGATAGCAACAAAAGGCAAATAATGCTTATTATAAATATGAGTAAATTTATTTAAATTTATATTCACTAATAAAACGTATTTTTATAATTTTGTCATTTAAAAGATCCTACAATAATGATATTTCTATTAAAAATGGTCTTATCAAAAAATTGTTAAACATTTTCAAACTCATTCCAAAGTAGTTTGTACAAATTGAAAAATATGTCTGAACCTCACACGTTACTTCACTTTTAATAAGCTCTTTGGCGATCGATAATCTAAAGCTTTAGTTTCATTACTTTCCATATAAATTCGATTAATCGTCTCCACGCGATAGGTCGGGACTAATTTACGGTTTATTCTCTCTCACTATGTCGCTGAACTTTCCGCAAAGTTTACAGTCAATAAAGGTAGGCTCCTTACCTCGAAAGGATTAAGCATCATCTGTGATCGTCTGCCTTTCGTTACTATCATCGATTGTATCATAACAATATACACACATTGGAGTTGTCGTTAAAGTTTTAATTGTTATGTAGCTCAATAGCTTATTCACTCATCGTGTATAGAGATAAGGACCGTAATATAATTTATTTCAACAACAATAAAAAATTAAGGCAATGTAAAATGTCGATTTATATTATCTGAAGGACTATTTTATTACTTTACAGGAGACTGTTTTCGAAATGGTATGGAAGCGTTCAATTATTGATTTTCATAAAATTCAATATAAATATCTTTAATAATTTCGTTGAAGATGCAGGCTGTATTTCAATTATATTTTATTGATAAATATATCAATTATTTCATAAATTAAATATTTGAAAACAATTAAGAAACAGGGCTACGAGCCAAAAATTCGTTAGAAATATTAACAGTAAATAAATAACTTCATTTATATTAAAATATAAAGTTTAATAAAAATTAAAGAACAAAAATTAAAAACAGAAATTTAAAAACAAACGTTTCGACCTCTTTTAGGTCATTATCAATGTTAAATCGCATGATATTTTACAATTATGTAAGAAATTATGATATAATAATATAAAAAACGCAATTATATAAAAAAATATAAACAAATATATAAAAATTAGAAGCGTATTCACTCTCGCATAATAGAAATTTCGGATAATTGAACAGGAAAAACCATAAACCGATGTAATTCGTCTGATAGTAAATGTTATTCGTAAAATCTTTGGTAAAAATCTTTGGTTAAATATTTGAATTGAAATAAATTTGTTATTTAAAATAAAACATTTTCATATATAGTTATCTACATGTCGACTACTACGTTAAGTTAGACGCTAGACTATTCTTCTAGATACGTTCAATTAAAATTATTTAGCACGTTAATTTCTATTGAATTTTACAAAAATAGCAATATTAAATCCGTTGTTAAATTTTTATTAAACTTCTATTCATATATTGATAAAATCACTGCACCAAGTTGGTAGGATATAACTTGGGTAAGATGGCGCCATAGGTTTTTTAAGATGCATAAAAAACACTTTTATAATTTTTATTTTCTAATAGTATGCTTGGTATATCCCTTCATTGAAATTTAAAGTAATAATGAGTATCGAAATTCAAGCGAAAACACTTATTTAATGTTATTAGAAATTTAATATTATCAAATGTGTATTGTTTATTTAATTCAATTTTTAGAAAAAATAACCTATGCCAAAGTAACATACACACACACACACACAATGATGAAAAGCTAGATATATAGCATTTATAAATAGACAGTGAAAATGAAAATTATAGCTCATATTACAATTTATGTACCTTTATTATGTATATAACGTTGATTACGGTAGTTTAACTATAATTTATTCGATTATTGCAGCTTTCAGTGGACATGTGCAAACTTTACAGATATTTGAAAGTAGATATTACATAATATTTACAATATTGTTATTTCGAGTAGTATACGTACATAAATTGCTGTAAACATTGATTATGTTATATTTGGAAATGACACTATAAAAAGGCACTATTTATCAATAAAGAGAAATTACAATGCTATACATATTTTAAGCTGACACGAAAATGACAAGATCATTAATAATAAGATTTGTCAGTGTCGACATTCTTTTCGTCTGACCCTTTCTACCTGAAATTTATGTTGCGGCAGGTATCCTGCTGTGCGAGAACTGCAAGGTATTATAGTAAGTAAAAAGCACTTACCAGACAAGTAATGGGTGCAAGGATGGCCCAGCAAAGCCACCAGTAACCGTGAAGAAAACAGCCGAATTTAATTTTCATTTCGGTGAGATTAGCTAGAAATCTGTTACATCCATAGAACGAGGAAGCCACAATGAGTTCAGCGAAGCCGATCAATAGGATCGCCCAAGAGGCGGTATGCCAGTCCATCAGCTTGAACAGGTAGATACCGCCGTCGAATACCATCGGAATCGCCAGGAGCCAGCAGGTAGCGCATATAGCCAGTACCACGGAACTCTCGTATTTTCGCAAATCCGGACGCCAGTCCAGTATGGCGGTGTTTATCGCCTGCACGCCTGCGAACTGTATCGTAAAAAGTAACGACCGCGCGGCCGCGCATTTTCCTTCTTCATCCTTACGCGCGCATCGCCATTTCCTCTCTTCCTTACCTACTTTCTGTTTCTATGTATATACCTCCATTTTTTACCATTTACTCTTATTCTCGTAGCAATAAGTACGCGTTCTCAATCCGAAAGCGTCTAAATTTCGACGCGGAGTTAAAGAAATCGAACCGAGCCCGCTCTCAATCACCATTTGCATCATAAACAATCTATATTTCGTTCGATTGTATTTCCGCGCGGGGCATATTTTTACGACGGTCTCTCGCGCAGCTCGCTCGCGGCTGCCGCGCTTTGGTATCGTCGGCGAACCGCTGGAAAAACGGAAGAAGAGAGCGCGGGGCTGACGTCGCGAGGGAAAGGGAGAAGAAGGTGTGGATTTCACTCTGAGACGGCGAGCCATAATTCCTTCCGTGATATACGAGCCCCGAGGTGAAAAGATGGGAGTCTCGCGATGCAAAAGCAACGCGAAACGATCGCCGTCCGGCTACTCGCCGGGATGAGGCGCGCATCCCTCTCTCGCATGCCCGCGGCATCTTTTGACAAATACGCCGACCGTTTCTCAAGACTGAATAGCGCCTTCTTAGCACCGGGACGGATGTGAAATCTTCGCGAAGTAACCCACGCCGATGAGCGATGGGCAGCTATAGCGCACAATGACCGTATCTCACGCGCGAGTTTGTTTTGTAATTTTGTAAACTTTTTAACGGCCGCGTTATAACTGCAAAGATCTATTTGTATCTAGGTGCATAAAGCGTATGCGCGGGAAAACCGGTATATCACGAGTCTAACTTCATGACGTATTAGGTCATACTATACAAAATTGATAATTGATTGCGATTAAAGTTAAGATATTTATGACATCGCGTAAAAACGTGAAAATTTATATGCAATCTTACTACATTTTAGAACGTAATGGTCTCTTTCTCGAGATGCAATACGACAAGCTAATTGTTAGAGCAGTGGAATAAAATACTATAGCTATTACGCTTTTTATATTAAAACTATATAGTGTCCTCTAACATAAAATTGTATTTATCTTTCTTTTTACACTTATTTTTATAAATATTTATGTTTTAGTAAAAAATATAAAAAAGATATAATTAAAAGAAGCCTGTGAATTACACTGCGAACAATTCAAGCCTCATGATTATTGTTTATGTCGCACATATTATTTCGTTCCACTGTTTTACCATTACGCTATTATATAAATATAACTAGAGAGTCGCGCGAAGTGCAAGAAGGTGAAAGTCGGGCCATCTTGCAAATATACAACTCGTTGGAACAAATGCAGTTAACGCGGCGATGTTTCTCGTTATGCGAAAGAAAATTGAAATTCACATCTCTCACTTTCCTCTCCTCTCTTTCTCCACTTCCCTGCTACCCCAGTCTCAGCCCGAGCTCATCGCATTAATAATTATTTTTTTTTCATCACCGTAAGTGACGAGGAATGGAAGCGGTTTTTGTGTGAAAATGGAAATAAAATCTTTTACAGCTCTCCTTTAAATGTTCGTACGATATACCGCTCGCGTTTATATTGTCACTGTACCGCGAACGGAAATTCGTAAGATCAAAATCATGCAATATGTATACGCGAGATGTATACGACCGTGTTTTCTTGATATAAAGCGTAAATAGCTCGCGTGCTTACCTGACTACCGAGACCGAGTATGAAGAGCATAACGAAAAACAGGATGGCCCAGAGATTCGACCACGGCATCTGCACCACCGCCTCCGGATAAGCGACAAAAGCCAACCCCTCTGCGCTCTGGACCACCTTGTCGATCGGCATACCCATTTTCTGGGCCAGAAATCCAAGTATCGAAAATATCACCAAGCCGGCGAAAACAGATGTGAATAGATTGGTGCAGGTGACGAAAATAGCGTCTCTGAGAATAGAAAGACAAAATTCAAATTACCTTATGCGCTCAACGAATATGGAATGTTAATATAGAATTATTCTTACAGAGAGAGATTTAAAAAATATATATATTATAAATATGTGTCTCTTTAGGAAAAGCACATTCATCTCTCTATCTCTTTAAAATAAAAAATATTCCACCTAATCCATAACTCTGTATCGAATCCGTAACCGCATATCGTATCCTTTCCTGTTTTCCCCATCTTCAATACAATTTCAAAGTATATCCCTTATTTTTTCTTATATCCTATATGTATAGAGGATATGTCTTGCCTGTCTTTTAGGTATAGGACATCGCATACGTTATTCGAGAATATAACAAAGTATTATTGTCCAAAAGAGACGGATAAAAAAAACTGTTTTGATGACGTCATGTTTACAAATCGTTTTTATTATTTAGATTATTATGCGCATTTAATTATCTACGATGGTTGTCTTTAGCTTTACAAATTCGTTGTTATTATTATTATTATTATTATACCTTATATAGTTGAGCCAGAGTCTCGGAATTACGTCAGCTGGTCGCGACGACGCCCAGCCACCGCCCGTCACCGAAACGACGTCGTCGAGTCCCGAGTTAAAATAAAATATGCAACGATTGCAGTGTCGTAAAGAGACTGAAACGTCGCCGAACGATGAACCAGAAGATTAATAGGCACTTAAAAGTGCTTAGTCAGTGTAGTTAATTAAATACACGTCTTGTGATAAATTATTATTCGCGCGATCAAACGCGCGACGAATTTGTACGTCCGTCCCATCGAATGGGCGTATAAAATCAGACATTCTGCTTTTTAAGGGCTGCTTCTTACTTTGCTATTAAGGTATCTTGTGTTCGCAAACGACCTAGTCTCTCTTTCGCTTCCTTTAGTCCGAGATATACACGTTTTGTTCTAGTATAATCGCACCTGTGGCAATTGTTGCTAAAGTTGCTGTAACTCGCGAGAGTCACCAGGGATCCGCAGCCGATGCCAAGCGAATAGAAGATTTGAGAGGCCGCGTCAGCCCACACATTTGCGCCTGCCAGCTTCGAAAAATCGGGATATATGTACCACAGCATGCCACTATCGGCACCATCCAGGGTAACACCTACGATTATTTCTCTTAGTTATGACAGAGCTGTCTGTTCTCACATTAATGTCGCATGTAGTAATACCGGAATGATTTAGCTTGGCAAATCTCCAAGCCAAAGCGAGCGACGCAGTTCAAATATATCAGATGTGACGCAATCGTGATTAACTGAACATGTCCATTTTTCCATAAATTGCGCCTATCTATTTAGCGTAAAATTTTCTACACTCTAACATTTTACATTTCATCCTATCCTTAAAAGTAAATGGAAACATTTTACATGATTAAAATAAATGTCCATTTTATATAGTATGATTATTAATATCGTAAATATATATAAACAATAATATTTGTAATTATTGAAATTGTAAAGAATCCTTATATTGTATTCGAAAGTCATTGTAACGCATAAAAAAATTTAATATTACACATAATAATAATACTACTTTTAAATCTAAAGTTTATAAATTATTAATAGGTTTTGTTTATGAAAATTGACACGTTAGCCGTGCGAGTATGTATTTTATTGGATTAAACCATAAATGAAGATAAAACAATGAGTTGAGTTCAAATAAAAATGTATATCTATATTTAGAAAAGCCTTATAGAAGCTCGTCTTGTTTCAATTTCTTACCGCGTACTAGAAGAATTGTGAGAATGACGTAAGGGAAGAGAGCGGTGAAATAGACAACTTTGCCGATAGTCTGGATACCGCGTACCAGGCATAAGAAGCACACCACCCAAGCTAGCGTGAGGCATCCGAGTAGTTCCCATCGTATGCCGCCGAAGTTTTCCCATGTGGCTCCGCGCAGACCAAGAACGTAGTCTCTGGACGCGATCGACAATTACATGCTTTTGTAGGCGCGATCCTCAACAATTTTTGTTCTCGCTCCTCAACGCTGGACAGCGACGTAAAGGCTCGTTACCGATCCTCCCGACACGATGCAGCGCTGATGGCTATACTGTACCTGAAGTACTCCTCGGATGACAGTACCCGCTGATAGAGATCTTCGAACACTTTGGCTTCGTTCGTCAAGGAAGATAAGCAGTGGGTCTTATTATAATTGTCGTAGCCTAAACTGGAACAGACCGTGTGGATAGCCATGCAGGTCTTATTGTAAAATATAGACTCTGAATTAGTTATCTTGCACTCTTCTGCTTGAAGGTTGCTGTAACAATCTATTGATGTCAGTATTAAATACACAATTCAAAAACAAACGATTGCGATAGAATAATATTAGCCCTTATGCTCCAAAATTTTTTTATACAAATATCTTACAATTATTTGGCTATTTAATCAAAGTCCAAGTTCCAAAAGTAATGTCAATTTATATTTTTATATATAAAAAAAACTAATTAATTGATTGGTCCTTTCAACTAAAATTTTTTTTAACTAGATATATATAAATAAATTGCTCTTTATGCAATCTTGAATTGTAAATAATTACAAAAGCTAATATACTTAAGAACGTCTCTTGCTAGTAGACGTGGTAGCGATTAACTGATAGCTCTTTAAAGTTAAAATTTTAAAGTTAAATTTCTGCTTATTTAAATACGACGAAACGTTAAGTAAAATGTGTAGCACATTGATCTATTTTTACTTACTGTTTGTGTTGAAATCGTTGTCGCAGTACGCCCAAGCGAGTTTTGACGAAAAAGAAATAAAAATGTAAAATAATGTCCACGCGATTATTATCATGTAATATATCAGCACAAAGAAAATGACTACCAATGTGCAGTGACCAAGGCCATGAAAAGCGGGTGCCATGCGACTGAAAGATTTTATAGGCCCCAGTCCAGTGTACTGTCCTACACAAAGCTCTAAGAAGAATATAGGCAAACCCATCGTGATCAACATGAGAATGAAGGGTATCAAAAAAGCTCCTGTAACAATTAATTATGCAATCATAGCTTTTTATATCAATTTGCAGATGATTCTGTTTTTATAGTTATGTATAATGTATACCAAAGTTAATATAAAATGTACTAAAATCAAATACAGTGTAATTATAATAATAATAATTGTTGATATTCCACTAAACGAAGAATATAATTTTACTACTAAAAGTATAATGTACTACAACTAATCATTATTGTACGTATAAAAATTGTTTTATAGTTTAAAATTATTATGTGCGTTGAAAACTTATCTATTTTAATCCTTAATGTTAATTGCTTCTTCCACTACTATCATTCAACTACTTGAAAATTCTTTTCCTTCACGAGATGATTAAGTATCAAAGTGATACACAGCACAACTTTAAAGAATTTAATAACTTATGTACATATATCGAAATTAATTTATTAAAAAGTATAAAATTATTAAAAAGTATTAGTTCTAAATCACTTTTATAGCTCCAAAAAAATCTCTCCCGATCCTTATTTACGGCGACTATTTTTGAATCCCCGACGCGCAATCTTAAAGTTTACGTATCAGTTTTCTAAAGTTTGTATCTATAATTTTTCGACGCTGTATATAAGAACGAAGATAGTATGCGCGTCGGAATATGATATACAGAGCGATCCAAGTTTTAACAAACTGTAGCTAAACTGTACCATCATGTTTTACAAGTAAACGTGCAAGAAAAAGCACTTCAGATAAATATTATCTACAAAAACTTTATTCAAAAACATAGCTTCAATATAAGCTGATTAGAGAAAGAGAAACATTAAAATTTGTTCTTTTCTAAATCTTTATCATAGTTTTTTAATAAAACACTTATAGACCTACATAACACTTTTATATATAACACTTTCTTTTACTCATTTAACATGCTTGCACAATTTCATCGTGACCTGAAACACTCTGTACGACATATAATACGATGGTTGCATCTGAAGCACGTATTTCCCATGTATACCATGGGACAGATACACACGTGGGGCACAGTTACGGGCGCCTACGTACCACCGCCATTGCGATATATGAAGAAAGGGAAACGCCAAACATTGCCGATGCCAACAGCATACCCAATGCAGGATAGAATAAATTCGATCTGGTTGGCCCAAGCGCCTCGCTTTGGATCGTCCTGGTGCTCCACGAAAACGTCGCCAACTCCGAGAGAAACCCTCTTCACCTGCCAATAACACACAGGGAGCACATTATATTTGCATCATATAAATTATCGCCAAATCGACGATGAAAAGATCTGACGTCACGCTACGGACACATGAGCGACCGAAAAGAACTACGGAAAGAAAAGCGAACCTCAACACCAAATCGACCTTCAATATATTTGCACAAGATTAGACACGAATCAGTCTAAAATCTCTCAAGTTTGGCAGCAAAAATATTTAATCTGACCAATAAAATGTGATTAAAAATAAGATAAAAGATTACGTAATTATACAATTGTAACAAGAAATTTTATTCATTTTTTAAAAATTAAAATAATTAAAAGCAAAAAACTTTATACTGTGTGTTTTACTGTGTTTTAAAAATTAATATAATTTTTAACCTTTATTGTTTTAAAAATTAATTTTAATTTTATTAATTTATTTTTGAAAAATACAATGAAGTAATATTATAATATGACAAGATTTATAAAAATAATTTCCTATCTCTCTTATGAAGCTCTTATATCTCGTGTTTTATTAATGTGAGAAAGATAAGAAATAATATTCTTTGTGTCTATAAAAAATGTCTATTAATGTTTACTTTCTTCTAATAGATATATGAAACTCTCAGAACTAATTTTACAAAAGTATAAAATTAGTGTATGTAAAAATAGAAACATTTATTTATTTCCAAATTTAGTTTATTTAATTAAACTTAATTTTTATTTGATACGAAAAATTTCGAAAAAAATCGAATTTAGATACACTTGCAAATTGTTTATAACATTAAAAATAATTGTACTTTATTGTACAGAAAAATATTTATATAGACAATTCGCGTCTTGGGAAATATTTATCACCGTTCCAGATGATAAGAAGCGAAGCCAAGAGCCTGACCTGTTTTGCTCTTCTGAATTACGAAATTGCTGCAATAATTAATTACAGCGTCACTGATCGAGACATGTTTGTATAAGCAAATAACTAACCTGGGACGCTTTCTTAGATTGTGCCATAGTAAATGTGACGTCTGATTCCTAATTCCTGATGATTAATCTTCGGTCTGTCCTCAAGACAGCATTGACGACTGCTCTGAGCTTCGACACAATCAGACTGCTACAATAATACGTACGTAATGGCAACAAAATAATTCGAATTATCAAAGATAATTATCAAAGATAATTCGAATCCAAATGATTACATCGAAAGATAATTTCCGGATCTACTTAATCAGCTCTGACGTTCAACAAATACGTATTTGAGTGCATCATGATTGATTCGAGCACCGTGACGTTTAATGTTTTTATTTTATTACAATCTGCGCTATGATATATATCGCAGATTGCAATAATAACACGAAAAATCTGATAAAACTAATAATGTCATCGGATTTGCGGATAACAAAATGCATTTCTGAGAATGTCAAATCATCTTGGACATTTTAAGCTGAAAAAATGTGCACATACAACATTCTTTTAATATAACTATTGTTTTATATAGAAATATTATTAAAAAATTAATATTATGAAAAAGAAATTTATTTTCCTAATATTTTATATAAAGTCAAAATTTGCTCAGTTTTAATATAAAATACATATTGACACAGTTTAGAATTCTATATTACTCTCCTTGTTCTTACAAACGAAAGGATTTTGAAAAAAAAACCGGCTTGAAATTATTGAGTTATCAAATTATAATATAAGATCAACTTAAGTAAACATTCAAAGTAACAGAATTTCGTAGCAATATGCGACGTTATCTAGAGATAAGACTGTAAAAAATCTGCAAGGGAATCTTTTCTATTTAACTACACGTGCGCTTTTTTTTTTTTTCATCATCTTGGGCTTAGATATAGAATATTTACTACACGTGCGCTCAGATATAGAATATTTACTATATAAGAGCCACAGATTTCTCAATTAAATAGAAGTAAATTCTTTTTTAATTCACAAAAAGCCATACAGTAAAAAAACCATAATTGAATTGTAATTACTTTTTCTGATCATTAAGCAGACAAAAAAAATGAAAATGGTCCATATATTAAACTAAAAAAAACGTTTTAATGAATTATTTTTCGCACGTTCTGAGTCGTGTAAAATAATTTTTGGATATCTAAATGTTTAATATCTAAAAAAATTAAATACGTAACTCTTTTATGATCTGAATGAGTAAAAGCGGATGATTTAAAAACAGAAAAAATTTTTAATTGGCTTTATTTGATTTATGATCTATGCTAATAAAACCTCTTGTTAAATAAAATAAAGCAATTCTTAGCAATAGAATAGAGACAAAATGCAAATTAGAATTGATCTTTTCACAAAACAGTAACTGTTAGTTACACAAACTCTGACTTACCGAATAAAGTGATTATTCAGTTATATAAATAGGAAGATTAGTCTTTATATTTTATTATTACTATCCTGTACTTATTTACAAGAAATATAAATCTCTTGGGACTTTTTATTTCTTAAGCTTAAGAATCCAGAAAACAAAGACTATTCTTGTAATCGTAGTCATTGAGAAATTTCTTAAGCCTAAGGAATTGATTGAAACTGATTTAGCGCCCCATTCATTTTATCATCATTACTAGATTATACTTCTACTACTACTACTACTATCACTGTTATCTAATAACATTGTAAATTTCCAGTTTCATTTTGAAAAAGATAAAGAAAAAAGAGAATAAACTACTACATAAGTTTATGACGTCAAATAATATCAAAACCTTTGAAAGTATGTCTTGTAGAAGTCACGATGAATTTTTTTTCTTGGAAAAAGTATAAATCGATTATTATACAAATTTAAATCTCTTAAAAATATATGGATTATGACTTAATGATTTGGTTTAAATACTATTTATAATTTTGTTAAAAATTATGAGTAATAAAAGTTACGCGCGAAAGACTGACATTTTTCAAATCTAATTAAAATTCATAAAAAACTTATATTTAAAAAAAAACGTTAGTTAAAACATAATTAGTCATATAAGAAAAAAAGCTTAAAAAGATAATTCCAGTTTGATAAGAAGGAGAAATGTAACGACAGTATAATACTTGTTAGTAGTTTTGTTCAATGATTTCGCAACTACCTTCATCCCTCCTTATTTCTTTTAATCCTCTATTTCTACACCTACAGAATTTGAAAGAGAGATTTCTTTAAACTACGATGTAACAAACCTAATATATTTGTCTCCGGCTACTATTGATTTCTTAGCTTATACGTTGCGGACCGCGATAAAATTCAGAAATGAAAGGGAGCGACTGCGGAGAAAAAAAGGGCGTGCCACTTTATCGTAGAAATGTCGACGACGGGGAAAAAACTGTTTTATTCGAAAGGATCGGAAAAGAAATGATCTCCCTATCGCCCGATCGCGTATGCTGGAGCATCGTGATAAAGGGAAAACGATTCTCGAATGGGAAAAGCGAACAAATCTGCTCCCACGGAGTGCTGGGATAAAAGAGACGATTTGCAAACTTGCTCTTGGAGTGACACATACGGAGCCCCGATTCCGTTCGGAAGGCAAACGCAAGCACGAAGTTATCGTTTATAAAGATCCCACCCGACTGAGAGAGAGAGAGAGAGAGAACCGCGACAAACTTTATGAATTATGGAACAACCCCGCGTCGGAAAAATAATAGGCATCGTGTCGTTTCGTTTTGATTCTATTCGATTATTTCGTCTTTGTGTGTCAGCTAAGCGTTTCTAATCTGGATCCTGTTTCCGGAAAGAGTTCCAAACTCGTATGCCATGTAAGGTTTATGGAGAGACCTCATTGTTGCAACACAATATACGTAATTTGCACTTTTTACGAGACAAAAAACCCAGCTCGTATCTCGTGTTGCAGGTCGAGCCAGCGGAATTCGCAAAGCCGAACCTTATACGCGTGGACCGACTCGTCGTCGTGACTCTTTATTTACAATGCAAATAGCCAAAAATGGAAAGTGACGTGGTGTAGCGCGTACGTACCGCCACGTTTCGTCGGGAAATTGCGCGTTATTGCGAGACAATTTCTCCAACTTCGCGATCAATTCGATTAATCGACAGTTTATCTTCAGTCGCTTTATTGCATTTGCCCGGTGCGGGTGGCACGCTAATGCAAACGTTTTTCTTTAAAGTCCTATCCCCGCCTGTCCGCATTTGCTCCATCCCTCACTCTTATCCCATCTCACCCCCGCCCAGCAAACTACGTTGAGCAGATGCGCGATCGATGTTACCAATGGGCCGACCGCTAAATCGTAGCGTGTGTACCCGGTTGCTCGCAAGTCACGGCACTAACACTACAGATGAAATTAACAGACGCGACCGCGCCGAAAAGGGCACCATCGGCAAACTTGTTAAGCTCGTGTCGGAGTCAATATAGTCATTCTCTCTCTCGCGCGCGCGTGTATCGTTTTAAGCCTCCAGATTTCGGCGTCTGGACTCATCTGGTTATTCCACACACATGAATTCTACATACATCCTCCCTATGATTTACGATTATTCCTTCTTTTTCTTCACTCTGAATTTTATTCCTAAATGGAACACAGTACCAGGACTTTATATCTCCTATCTTCTCCTCATTTACGATATGCTTGGGTACGTTGCTGCCAGTTCGTTTCACAACAGACGGACGAGCTTATTATTCAGATTATGTACATGCAGGATTACGATTACAAGAAACCCTAAAAGAATTCTAAATGATGAAAGAAATAAAAGAAGATTTATAGACTTCGAAGAAGATAAGAAGACAATAAAGGAAGATGCGAGAACCATACGGAGATGGAAAAGGCGCTTGATGAGGAAGGATAGAGACAGAAATTAAAGGAGGCCAAGGTTAAATTAAATTATAGTATCATAAAAGAAGATATGATTAGAGATAGTAATCTGTTTCTTTCAACCCCTCTCTCTGTCGCCGTATCTTTTTTCCGTCTCGCTAGTATACGACATTTATCATTAGCGAGCGAGCTGAGCGTTTTATATGACGATTCAATTTGCCTCCCGCGCTCCATTTATTTTCTTTATTTCACGAGACGTATCTTTAAGGTGGTGACGCAATCGCGACGAATCCGTGACGCGTCAGTCGTTGCGTTCAGTCTAGCTGTGTGCATGCAGTTATGTGGAAATGGACTATCAAAAGCCGAAAACACAGGTGGACGGAGAGTCGGGCACTTCCGGTGATCGTTAGTAGCGACGATAAAAGCACCGGAAAGATAATATCGTCCGCACACATGCGATATCCCGATCTGGAGGAAGGTGAAGTAATGGTCGAGAGCCACCTTTCGATAGTTGGGCGATAGCGTTTCTCCCTTAACAGCTAAAATGCAGCGATCAATAATTAAAAAAAAGCACCGATAATATCGACGCGATATACCGTGTGTCGTTTCACCAGCAGATCTTATTGAGAATATATCGCGTATCCGGCGTATCTGGCGTATATCCAGAACGCATCCGGAGAATAGTAAGGCGCAACAGCGGGAAAAATTCGTGGAAAACAGTAAATAATGAAAGTGTTGATGATTTTTTTACTCTGAATAGGAGGTTTTTTCAAACGTTGTTGTTACGAGCATGAGATCGTTACGATGTAACGACCAACATTGGGAATTTCGCGATGTAACCATCTGACATCGATAGTTCGTTATTTTTTTTATAAATTTTGTTATCATACTTTTCTAACTCGTACAAATTGACCAAAAACAAGAAAATTTGTGTGTGTACACATTAACTTTTAATCTATATATGCACAATTTCGTCGATGCCACGTCGCTCGAATCTTCGTATACATAGTGTCGTTTCGACGAATACGATTATGGCGAGACCGCGACCCGGCAAGTCTAGAAAACGGCGTTCTCGATACGATAAATACGAAATCATGCGCAAGCCGAAACGTACTTACTCTTCCAATACTGGTCTTTCGCGTGGTCGCTGGTCGTCCAGTTGTGAAAACTTAATTCGCTGATTTGCTCCACCGTTTTATCTCTCGGTCTATCGGTCGACGTTCGGGTTTATTGGATAGTCTGTTTGCGTCAATCTTTCATGTGTAAAAATAGAAT